CTACGTTAGTCGATCCACACACCCACAATAAGCAAGTGCCAGAGTAGCCCACCCACAACAAACAGGTACAAGAGCAGCCCACTCACAACAAACAGTTATTGCACCTGGGTATTCCTCTGGGGTGATGGGCCAACATGCTGTGTGGACTTGGCTGGGGAGGGGAGACATCACTTACCCTCTCCTCCTGGTACTCCAGCGATGGTAGCTGGAGATCTGGACAGGCTGTCCAGCATCCCTGTGGGTCAGGCACAGAGACCCATCTACACCGTCTGTCTCCCCTTGGTAGGATAAGCTGCCGCTGGGGAGAGAGGATGCTGGCCTCCTCTCCCTGTAGAACACACTGCTGCTGGGGAGAGAGACCTGTTGTCTCCTCTCCCTGGGACTCAGCCTGCCGCTGAGGAGGGAGACCGATTGCCTCCACTCCCTGTAGGGAACACTGCCGCTGGGGAGAGAGGCCAGCTGCCTCCTCTCCTTGCAGAGCACACTGCTGCTGGGGAAAGAGACCGGTTGTCTCCTCTCCCTGGGACTCACCCTGCCGCTGGGAAGGAGGCTTGGGTATCCACAGTCCCGAACTGTACAACTCGAGTTCGAGGCGCCGCACTGCTCGGTTCTCCTCATACACCTCTTGCATAAATAGGTCTATCATCACATCTGGAGAATCTGGGCCATACCTGGCTAGCCGCCTCTTAACTTTCACAATGAAATCGTCGTCTTCATAGCAACGTATCATGCTTGCTTGGTGTTCCCAGGATGCTGCTCCTCTCACTAGGAAAGCCATCCCACCGCTGCCACCACTGTAACGGAACTCCCCATACTCCGACCAAGTACCTTCCATTGATGGACGCTTCCTAGCTTGCTCCGAAGACCACAAGCACCGCACTGGACACCACAACCACCGCAGACTCCACAACCGCTGTAGCTTAAATGGAGTCTCGCCGTCTTCTGTCCACCCTGGATCAGCTTCTGTCCTCCAGGACCGTGTGGGGAAGACCTCTCCTCCAGGAGAGCGTATCAGGAACAAGCTCTTAAAAGAACTAAGTGATTAAAGCTCAGGGGAGTATGCAGAGCATAGCAATCCCCAGTGTGAGTATAGCTGTCCCCTCCAATCACGAGACAAGACTATGTGTTGAGGGTCAAGAAGAACTGACTCCAATGAGCGTTTATTTCAGTTTATATTCAAGTTTCCCAGCAAGGTTACCACCCACGTGGACCTTGTGGGGTACTGAAACTGTACATTTAGCAACCAATCAGATAAAGGCACATGGATAACCACACCCACTTATTACAACACCCTGATCTATACTTCTACTTACTTCTTCGTAAAATTCATTTAGGCTTCTTTGACATGACCTGTGTTTCATAAATCCATGCTGATTATTGCTAATTAGAAAGTTCTTCTCAATGAATTCCTGAAAATGAATAACCCTTCAAATACTTTTCCAGCCACAGACGTTAAGCTCACATATAATTTCCAGCCAAAGATTTTAAATCCTCTTTGAATATAGGAACCACATCTGCCTTCCTCCAATCTTCCATTACAATTAGGGATTATTCTAGCCTCGGTGAGGGAATAATCTAAATTTGATTAAAGACAGGAGGCGAATATCTTTACCTTCTTTACTGAAACCTCCAGCAGCAAAGAAACAGTTAACAGAACTTTTCAAAACAACCAATCAGAACAAAGCAACAGTAGTATAAAACCCCTAAGCAGGCTCTTCCACTTCCTCTTTCTTTGATGAAGTTGAGCAGGAGAGCAAGGAAACCAATGGATCCACCTTGTAGCAGACACATCCAGAGAAACAATCGTCAAGCCCAGAGAGAAAACAGATTACACTGCAAGAAAACAGAAAACATTGTGAAAGTAAACTGTCAAGGCAAGATGTCATATCCATACAATATCACTTGCACATACCTGATGAATAAACAAAATCTACAGATCTTATGAAGACCTAGTATCTAGTATGTACCTAAACTAAAGGCATTGATGAAACATAATTACAACACAAACATGATGAATAAAATGCACACGGACAATCATCACTGAATAATAGAAATAACCTTTATTATGTAAAACCATGCATTCACAAAACATAACAATATCCCCAATTATTTATAATAGAATAAGACCCAAATCCAGGGAGGGAACGTAAAAGGGGGGGTGGGGGGTGAAATATTCACCTCCTGTCTTTAATAAAATTTAGATTATTCCCTCACCGAGGCTAGAATAATCCCTAATTGTAATGGAAGATTGGAGGAAGGCAGATGTGGTTCCTATATTCAAAGAGGATTTAAAATCTTTGGCTGGAAATTATATGTGAGCTTAACGTCTGTGGCTGGAAAAGTATTTGAAGGGTTATTCATATTTGCAATTTTAATGCCCAAATAGTAGAACCAGAAGCAATATGAGATAGAGGACTGAAATAAAAGGAGAATGGAAAAACTGAATCCCTAAACCAAGCAGCGGTGTAGAGAAAATGCAGAAGGGACCCAACGTTTCCAAAGTTGTTGAGGTGACAGCACCCTGAACCAAAAGTGTCCCAGAGGAACTCTCTAGGTCAGCCAATGAGAGGATCCACCAAATCCAATGGGCAAGCGAAGATGCAGAAACAGTCCAAAACGGCCGTACGCAGAAATCAACAGCTGTCCATGAGTAGACGGACGAAAGAACCAGATCCTGGATCTACATGGTCGTGTACAACCTGTCAACAGAGCCGTGGCCTATCTGGAGAATAGGAGTACGACACAGAGGATGAATAGAAATGAAATATGTGTGGAGCAGAAGCGATGTACTGAACGGCAAGAAGGAAGAAGACACTACGTCGATACCATGACGTCAGCATGCGATGAAATACAAGATGTACTGGGGAAAACCATAAGTGGAAAAAACTGGCGCAAGGCAAGTCCTTGTCATCAGGTCATTCTTCAAGGAAATGCAGAACACACGATACCACTAGAATTGAGGAATAGCGAGAGATAGGGCTCCCGTATGGTATACTCCTCTTGGTAGACTGCAGACCAAGAGATCCTTATCAGTGCCAGAAACTTGAGAAAACGCACAAGTCGTCCACTAGCTGACATAGGACGTGAATGGCCCCATACGATCCTACCCTGAGAGGGCAACTCAGCCAGACAATGGGGACAGCCATGATAAGGACCGCCATAGGGACCCAAACATCTCTCCAGACACCAGTCATGGCAGGCTACCCCTGTGGATCCCACACGGGACATTAAGAGACAGGGAGTCGTAGATTGCCTTCCCATGGCAAACTCCAGCAAAAAGGGGAAAGCACGGAGGACTCCTCCGAAGTGGTGTGGCCAGGCAAAACGACACTTCCAGGAATTCGGTCTGAAGCAAAGCCCCGAAAGAGACCAAGCTTGGAAAACACATCCCTCGCCTCGCTGAGGGTCCGGCAGCCAGCTGGAGAACCGCTCCGTATGGTGGTTCTCACCGAATGTAATCATGCCAGTACTCGAGACCCCGGAGGGTGAGGCAACCAATCATTGGGGTCTCTCCATGGTCGGGTGAAGCCGTCCGCCACCTGATTGTCTTGTCCCGCAGACATTCTGTCAAAAATTACTAATACTTGTCCAGAAGCTATAGATAGCGATCCTACGTGAGATCCGACTGCAGTCCGTAGTGGGCAACCAGTGATAAGTCCATGCCGGAAGGTAGCGTAGCGAGCAATACTACTTCCCCTGGGGAAGCTGCGAATGGTAAACAAACCTGCAGGTAGTTCCATGCAGTTGGCGTGAAGAGGTCCCTCCTCCGGACTCCAGAGTCCAGGCCAAAGTTGGAGTCATCAATTAAGTTTTAGATGAGATTCGTCCGAAGGTCACATGATTCGGTCGTACCAGGCCGAAGACCCGAGAAAGCGTCATGTTGGAGCGGCTGATAGTACCGGATCCTCGAGGTATGGCCTCCATGTCAAATAACAACCAGTTTGGGCCCTTAAGTGTGACCTACGGGTTGCGGAGCATATGCCTGGTATTTTCCTTGAAGACGGACATCTTGGTCCTAGGGAGGCAGAGCACCGCCTGGACCGAATATTCCATGAAAGACCAGAAACTGGGTTGACTGGGAGTGAATCAGATTCAATATGTCCATGTTGATGGCAAAATCCATGCGGGTTTCTCTCATGTCCAGTTGAGGGAGAGAACCAATCGTCCACGCCGAGCAGCTCTCTGAGGGGATGAGTGCCCTCCGTCTCGAAGTGTCAACAGGCGACATATGCACTGGGAGCACGTAGCGTGGGGATGGGGCGGGAGTCCACTCCACCGCACCCTTCACCCAGCAGGGCAACTTCAGAATGAGTCGGAATGAACGCCTCTTTTGGTCATGCGTATGGTTCATGGAACGGTCCAAGGTTCCGCAACCTTGATCCTGAGTCCGGGCACGGTCCGAGAGACCTCTGGGGCTAGTTAAGGGGGAACCCTATGAATAGAGCAGACCCAGCACTTGGATGCCAAATCCGTCAATTTCATGTCCAGCTTGGACAGGGGCCATTTTGCGGTTCTCAGGGGTAGAAACCAACTAGGCAATACCTATAAGTCATATCGGTCCATTCCCAATGGGAATTTAGTCTTCTCCGCTTTCCAAGCTGTAACGCGCCGTTCGTCCCGAGGAAACATATGTGTCCGCGTGTCATCAACATCCAGTGGTTAGTCCCGGATAGCGTGCAAACCCTGTGTCAGGTGTTTGCGGTGTCCTTTCCGGACACTGTTATAAAGACTGATCCTCTTGATGAATCCATCCATTAGCCAACAAGTACCAGGGGTGCTTGGTGTAGCGTCTAGCATGGCTGGTGGAGTGTCCCCTGTAGGGTACCGATGGTTTCTGGCAGTTAGGTCAGCGGGGCGGCATGAGGACAGGCCAAGTGACCTTCTGGGTAGGGGAGATTTGTCCTTCAGTCATGATTGCATAACTGCCATAGAGGTAACACTGTCGGAGTGATACCTGGTGCGGCCAGCTGGGGGTCACCCAGCATGCAAGAGGGGGTCACCCAACAAGCACAAGCATACCATGCAGTATGGGCCAGCAGGGGAGGGGGTCATCCTCAGTCTGAACATAATCGGACACTCTAGGTACAGTAATGCCGTAGTGGTTAGCCGTATAATAAAGTAACCAGACATTGCCGGTCCAGCAGTGCAGACGGCAGGAGGGGGTCACCCTCATATAACCATAACCGGGCATTGCAGATCCAGCAGTGCTGTAGGGAAGCGGGGGTCACCCTCAGTGCGGTATCATAGAGGTCTGTACACCCAGTAGTGTAGTCAGCGAGAGGGGGTCACCCTCATTATGGTTATAACGGGACCCTGTAGGTCCAGCAGAGTAGTCCACAGGAGGGGGTCACCCTCAGTATCTGCGTATAGCAGGGCACTGTAAGAACAGAAGCTCAATCAGTGGGAGGGGTACCCTCTTTTATGGGAATACCCGGACGCTGCAGGTCCAGCAGTGCAGACTGTAGGAGGGGTTCCCCCTCGGTATGATAATAACAGGACATTGCCGGAGCATTAGTGTAGGAAGCAGGAGGGGGTCACCCTCAGCATTAATCCTACAGGACGCCGTAGAGCCACCATGTTGCCAGAGGGAGGGGGTCACCCAGCCCACAATGGTGTCACACGTCCATTATTATGGTTCAGTAGCGGGTAGAGCCCCAGAAATATGGACGGGGGGCTGTATGTGGGGCCAGTTAGCCCCCCTGAGGGGTAGAAGGGTCCATACAGCTAGTAGCTGATTTACATCTATAGACCACTCAGGTATTATATTAGGATACACTTTTGAAGTGTATGTATAGTGGAAACATTTAAGTCCCTTGCAGGAAGGGCAGGAATGCTAGGCAGGGGAGCTAGGTGCTAAAAAACAGGCCATTTAATTTTCATGAGAAAATGAATGAACCTTAAGAGAGACTTGATTAGCATATATCACATGTGGCATAGTCTTGTTAAACAATGATTTTTGTAAACAATTACTTTTTATTTGAGCAGTAACATGCCCCTTTAAATCTGAGATTCACATTTAATTAGTCAAAAAAGCATGACAAGTCTACTGCTAAGATAGAGAGCATAGTCACATTGCATCAGACATCATAGTTAGCTGCAGTTGTGAGCTGTGAGAGTGCCTGGGACAGATCCTGCTATCCAGGATCTGTTACATATGCAGCATGTGAGATAGGCACAGTAAGTAGAGGGATAGCTGAAAAACTGCTATAGGGAGAGGGTGGTCACAGCAGGCAGCAAGGCAGTTCAGTGGGTGAGACCGGGCTGTTCGCAATGCACTGAGCCCATGCGGCTCTGAAAAATGGCCACTGCGGCTCCAACAAAATGGCCGCGGTGGCCGCAAAAAAACGAGCATGCCCTACCGCGTGGTGATCGTGCGGCACAAGCCTGGTCCTGCCTGCCTCGTGGGCAGTCTTTCTGTGGGGGGTACTGTCACGGTACCCGATCAGCACCTCAGTGTGACCGCAGATGATCAGTGCAGTCACACTAAAAGAGCCTCCAGCTCCTCTCCCTCTGCACAGCTCCTGTGACAGCAGCCGGGTCCAGTGTTAGGAAGGCGGCGCTATATAATAGTGCCTCCCACAATGACGTCACTAGTGATGTGAAAGTGCGCGCAGGGTCATGTTTTCACTGTGCACGCATGTTTTGAGGTCAAGGGACCTAATTTAGCAAGTAGCAGGTTTTACAGAGTTATTTGAACCCAAACCTGCAGCTGTTCAGTGCCCTGTTGTAGTTTCCATCCTGTGTTGGTTATCCGAGAGCATGTTCCTGTTTCCTGTTATTTGGTTATTGATCTTGGCTTATCTTGACTTTCCGTATTTCTAGAATCCCTGACCCTTTGGCTTTGTTCTTACCGTATGTGTTCCTTTCTGTATTCCTGACCTTGGCTAGTTACTAGTTATACTTATACGTTAAATCTGGCCATTATAAGGTCCAGTAATACGTTGTTAGTGTTTTTTATTTGTCTGTGTTTGACTTGGTTCTGTGTGTTGGACCACTGGTTCGTCCTGACAAGCTTTTTGTATTTGTTCTGGTGAGTAGAATCATTTGTGGGTGAATACAATCAGGCCCCGGAGCTTTGTTGACATCACTTTAATTTAATCGATGCAGGACCTTGTCTTGAGTGATCCAATCACAATTGTTCTACAAGTTTTTTGAAGCAATCATCAGCATATCTTTTGCAATAGGATCATTTTCAAAAGATGGTGGTTTTTAACACTACACCCTGTTCCAAATTATTATGCAAATTCTATTTAAGTGTCACAAAGATTAAATATTCTATTTTTCAGTTTAACTCATGAATGGCATTGTGTCTCTCTTGATCACTAAAAACAATCTCGGACACCTGTGATAATTAGATTGCCAGGTGAGCCCAATTTAAGGAAAAACTACTAAAGGAGGGTGTTCCACATTATTAATCAGAGCACCATTTTCATGGAAAAAGGATCTCTCTGCTGCCGAAAAGAGTGAAATAGTTCAATGCCTTGGACGAGGTATGAAAACATTAGATATTTCACGAAAACTTAAGCGTGATCATCGCACTATTAAAAGATTTGTGGCTGAGCGGGGAATAGAGCTGCACAACTAGACACGTAGAAATCACAAAAAGGAAATAACCCCTATGGCCAGACATCCTGCAGAAGTACCCCTCCAGCCACATAGTCAGATAGACCATCTCAAACCTAGACACACCCTATCCGAGATGACTGGCACTCAGAAACCCTCCCCCCCTCAAGTAATGCACGCTATGTGAGTATGTCTATAGATAAACGGCCTAGAGAGCTCCACTGCCAAAACTGCTACACAGGCATATACACTAACAGACCACTAGGTGAATGTTTATCTCAAATATTTGTCAGATATGAGAATGTAGCAAAAATTGTACTGAGAATATCAACCGCAAAACATTGTTAACTGTGTATATTCACCCACAAACAGCGCGGACATAGGCACGGTACAGGACTATAAAATACGCTTATATGCCAAAATATCAACAAGGGAATATCTATGCCAAACAGACACCAAACGCGCACACACACCATAATAAACGTTTGCAATAAGTGTATAAATCGTTATTGTGCAACACCTGTTGGAAAAGTGGAATCTGGTCCCTACACCCTCCCTTCTACTTTCTGTACCCACGTACCTTTTCGCTGACTCAATAAAAATTGTCAAATTGAAAAAAATAAATAAAAGATTTGTGGCTGATTCAGAGCACAGACGGGTTCGTGCAGATAATGGCACATTGAGGAAGATTTCTGCCAGATCCAAGCATTGGATCAAGAGAGCAGCTGCTAAAATACTATTACCATAGACGTGCGCAGCCTATTGTATAAGGGTGTGCACCCTAAAGCAGAAACACACACGCCGCGTATATATATACATATATATATATATATATATATATATATATACACATATATACACATTTATGTGTTGTGTGTAGGTGCTGTGTGTGTGTAGGTGCTGTGTGTGAAGGCGCTGTGTGTGTGGGCGTGCTGTGTGTGTGTGAAGGTGCTGTGTGTGTGTAAGGGTGCTATTAGTGTGTGCTGTGTGTGTGTGTATGTGTAAGGGTGCTGTTAGTGTGTGTGTGTGTGTGAGGGTGCTGTGTGTGTAAGGGTGCTGTTAGGGTGTGCTTTGTGTGTGTGGGTGAGGGTGCTGAGTGTAAGGGTGCTGTGTGTGTGAGGGTGATGTTAGTGTGTGTATGTGTAAGGGTGCTGTGTGTGTGTAAGGGTGCTGTTAGTGTGTGCTGTGTGTGTGTAAGGTTGCTGTGTGTGTGAGGGTGCTGTGTGTAAGGGTGCTGTTAGTGTGTGCTGTGTGTGTGTGTATGTGTGAAGGTGCTGTGTGTGTAAGGGTGTTGTTAGTGTGAGGGTGCTGTTAATGTGTGTGTGTGTCGTGTGTGTAAGGGTGATGTATGTGTGTGGGCCGTTTAGTTAATATCCCTCCTCCCTTCTTACCTTATGTAGGGAGGGGGGACCGTGCTCCTGCCTCCCCTGGTGGTCCCGTGAAGAGTGAACTCTAGCCCCCTGTGGAGCTAGAGTTCACTCTCGCGAGATCTGAGCGGTAACCGCGGCAATGCTCTGACCACGCGAGAAGAACCCGACGGAGCTGCTGGCAAGAGCTCCCCGGGACCTCTCCTGCCTCCCTCCCTGCCTGTGGGTCGGGGAGGGAGATCTTTGATCTCCCTCACCGGCCCACGGAGGGAGGCACATAGCACGTGCTACGGGGATTAGGGTGTGCCTAGGCACACCCGGCAAACACCCCGTGCGCATGCCTATGACTATTACATAGCAGCAAACAGATATTTGAAGTTGCTGGTGCCTCTGGAGTCCCACAGACATCAAGGTATAGAGTCCTCCAGAGTCTTGCAACTGTGCATAAACCTTCTATTCGGCCACCACTAACCAGTGCTCACAAGCAGAAACGGCTGCATTGGGCAGAAAAATGCATGAAGACTAATTTTCAAACACTCCTCTTCACTGATGAGTGCCGTGCAACCCTGGATGGTCCAGATGGATGGCGTAGTGGATGGTTGGTGGACGGCCACCCTGTTTCAACAAGGCCTCGACGTCAGCAAGGCGGTGGTGGAGTCATGTTTTGGGCCGGAATCAAGGGAAGAGAGCTGGTCGGCCCATTAAGGGTCCCCGAAGGTGTAAAGATGACCTCTGCAAAGTATGTGGAGTTTCTGACTGACCACTTTCTTCCCTGGTACAGAAGGAAGAACTATGCTTTCCGTAATAAAATCATCTTCATGCATTACAATGCCCAATCTCATGCTGCAAAGAATACCTCTGCATCAATGGCTGCTATGGGGATAAAAGGAGAGAAAGTCATGGTGTGGCCTCCATCCTCCCCTCAATGCTATTGAGAAACTTTGGAGCATCCTCAAGCAAAAGATCTATGAGGGTGGGAGGCAGTTTACATCCAAACAGCAGCTCTGGGAGGCTATTCTGACATCTTGCAAACAAATTGAAGCAGAAACTGTCCAAAAACTCACAAGTTCAATGGATGCAAGACTTGTGAAGCTGCTATCAAATAAGGGGTCCTATGTTAAAATGTAACGTGACCTGTTAAAATGTTGTTATAAGTTTGATTGAAATAGCTTTTCTCAATAAATATGCTGCAAACACAACAAATTAGAATTTGGAACAGTGCATTGTAAGTTTTTTTATGTTTAAAAAATACTGTTATGAT